TTCAATAGATTTTGGAGTGAATGTGGTAAAAAGGAAATGCTTATATGCTGCTGGTGAAAAATGTAAATTATTATAACCTCTATGGGAATCAGTATGGAGATTACTCAAAAACCTAAAAGTAGATCTACTATTTGATCCAGCAATCCCACTACTTGGTATCTACCCAAAGGAAGAGAGGTCATTATATAAAAAAGATACCTGCACCTTCATGTTTATAGCAGCACAATTCACAATTGCAAAGATGTGTACTTCAATTTCCTCATCTCATTATGTGGTGAATTACATTCATGCATTGCTTAATGACAGGAATAGGTTCTGAGAAATGCATTGTTAGGTGATTTTGTCCTTGTGCAAACATCATACACAACCCTGGATAGTACAGGCTACTATATGCCTAGGCTTTATGGTATAGCCTGTTTCTCCTAGGTTATAAACATGCACATCATATTACTGTACTGGATACTGTAGGTAATTGTAATACAATTACAAGTATTACAAGTATTTGTATATTAAAAGATACCGAAACATACAAAAGGTACAGTAAAAATACAGTGTATGAATTTTAAAAATATGACACCTGTATGGGGTACTTGCCATGAATTAAGTTTACAGGACTGTTAGTTGCTCTAGGTGAGTCTATGAGTGAGTGGTAAGTAAATGTGAAGGCCTAGAACATTACTATATACTACTGTGGACTTTATAAACACTGTACAATTAGGCCACACTAAATTTATTTTTTTAAATAAGTAAAAATATAAAGTTAATAACAAATATATGCTTACTTATTTAAATATGGTCATACATCATTGGAATATACGTTCTGAGTAATGTGTTGTTAGGCACATACTCATACCATATGTGTGAACTACATAGAGTATACTCTTACAAACCTAGATGGTATAGCCTACTACACACTTAGGCTATATGTTATAGCCTATTGCTCCTATGGTACAAACCTATACATCATGTTACTGTACTAAGTACTGTAGGTAATTATAACACAATGTTAAGTATTTGTGTAAATAAATATAATTAAACACAGAAAAGGAACACTAAACATTTTTTTTTTTAATGGGAGACCTGTATAGGGCACTTATCATGAATGGAGCTTTCAGGACTGGAAGCTGCCCTGGGTGGGTCAGTGAGTGGGTGGTGAGTGAAAGTGAAGAGCATTACTGTACACTACTGTAGACTTTATAAACACTGTGCACTTAGGCTACACTAAATTTATTTTAAAAAATTTTTTTTCTTCAATAATAATTACTGTAACTTTTTTACTTTATAGAATTTTTAATTTTTCTAACTTTTTGACTCTTGTAATAACAGCTTAAAACACAAACACATTGTACAGCTACACAAAAATATTTTATTTATATCCTTATTCTGTAAGTTTTTTTTTTTTTGAGTTGGAGTCTCACTCTGTCAACCAGACTGGAGTGCAGTGGCCGCTCCCGGCCACCGCAGCCTCAACCTGCTGGGCTCCGGCGATCCTTCCACCTCAGCCTTCCAAGTAACTGGAACTATAGGCGCGCGCTACCATGCCTGGCTAATATTTGAGTTACTGTAGAGATGAGGTCTCGCCAAGTTGCCCAGGCGGGTCTCGAGCCCGCGGGCTCAGGCAATCCACTCACCTCAGCCTCCCAAAGCACGGGATGTAAGTTTTTAACATTAAAAAAATTGTTTGTTTGTTTTTTTTTAAATCTTCTTGTTATAAACTAAGACACAAACACACACCTTAGCCTAGGCCTACCCAGGGTCAGGATCATCAACATCACTGTCTTCCATTTCTACATCTTGTCTCACTAGAAGGTCTCCAAGTGCAATAACATGCATGGAGCTGACATATCCTGTGATAACAGTGCCTTCTGGACTATCTCCTGAAGTACTTTCCTGAGGCTGATTTACAGTTAACTGTTTTTAAAACCGAGTAGAAGGAGTACACTCTAAAATAACAATTAAAAGTATAGTATTGTAAATACATAAACCAGTAACACAGTAGCTTATTATAATTATCAAGTATGATGTAGTATACATAATTGTATGTGCTATACTTTTATATGACTGGCAAAGCAGTAGGCTTGTTTATACCAGCATCACCACAAACACATGAGCAATACATTGCACTATGAAGTCACTAAGTGATAGGAATTTTTAAGCTCCAGTATAATCTTATGGAATCAACCATTGTTTATGTGGTCCCTCACTGACCAAAATGTCATTATGTAGTGCTTAAATATGTGCAAAGAGCTTTTCTTCTGGCACCCAGGAAATACTTGGCTACTTAATATGCTCTACCTCCAGATTCTCCTAACCCCAAGAACAATCTTCACATATTCTTTCTAGACTGGACTAAATACTTATTCACTGGAGAACTTACTGTATGTTAGGTGTTGTGGAAGATAAATAATTTTTTTTTTTTGCTATTAAAGACATTGTATAATTACATAAAGGCCAATGGAGCAATTTATCTTAATTATAAGTATTAGAACAGCTTTGTTTTCCTTTAAAAATGGATATTTTTTCTTCTAAAACAATGTAAACAAATGGACTTTTCATTTTGGTTGCCTAAATGCTTAGTTTGCATCCCTAACTATCTATGTAGTATATCATAACTTGTCCTGATCGTCTCCTTTCTCTAGTGCTTATTTGTATGTGTTTTTTTTTTCCTATTTTATTGTACCTTATAAACTGTTTTGAATCATTTTTGACACACAATGGAGTATGCCTATTATGACAGAAATGCCTTCTAAGTTATTTGATTGTGATTCTAGTTTTCCATTTCTGGCAATAGAGTTACAGACCCTACAGATGGTGAAATGAAAGACTACAGGCAGATTTGTAGCCTTTCATAATAGCAACTAGAAATTATCGAGCATTTACTATATGTCAGGCAGTGTTATATTGCTTTACATGAGTAAACTCAATTATTCCTTACAACAGTCTCACGAAGTGGAAAGTTAAGAAGAAGCTATTAAAAAAAAAAAAGAAGAAGAAGCTAGTATCCCAGGAGCTTTAAAGGAGTCAGTCCAAAGAGTTAGTTGCATATATAATTCAAGGTAGGACAAAATGAACCAAAATATCTATGAAGTTACCTCACCATTCAAAAGACTACAAAGATCACACTGTTAAATTAAACCCTGCTTGTTTGGATTAAAACTAGAGTGCAGGCCTGCATTATACTATGTATTAAATGGGGTTTATAAAAGACTTAAGATGATTTCCAACTTCAAAACAGCTTACAGAAAAAAAGCATCTGAAAGAACTAGAAAACAGAGAAGAAAGTGTCTAATGCAGGAGAATAATGCAAACCATCACTACAAAGGACTTCTAAGAAGGCAAGGGACTGAAAGTATCACAGAGGAAGCAGGACATGAGCAGGGCCTTTGAAAAGGGATGAATAGGATTTCTGGGGATACAAAGAAGAAAGCAGGACATGTAAAAGTGCCATAGAATAGTTTGAAAAGAAGCCAAGTGTGAGAAGAGAATGTGTTGGGAACAAAAACATAGCCTGCCCACATGCACAGTCTTTGTTTTGGGAAGTGATAGGAAATAAATTAACAGATCCAACTGTGAAAAGACTTAAAGTTAAATGAGTCTGAAATTTTTCTTGGGGACACTGGGAAACTGTAAACTATTTTTGGACAAAGTGGTTGTTTTGTGAGGAGCTTGCAGGTAATGCATTTAGTAACCTGAACCCATGGTTCAGGGAACTTGGTAGTAGCAGGAGAAACAATTAAATCATTATTAAGCCATTTCAAATAAAGTTTAGCAGACTGATTAGAGAGGATAAAGAGGAATCAGTAAGCAATAATTACAGGGCATTGTGTCTACTCAGCACTTTGTGATGTTTTATGATTCAAAAACAAGATTTATTTTCAAGAAGCTCATTATCTACTTGCATTACCTCAAGTATTATAACCTTATAAAACACTTGCCCAAAATCACAGAGTTGATCATCGTTTAATCAGAGAAGTGCTAGGAGGTAGGAAAAGTATGGATCAGCACAGAATCATGGATCCTAAAAGAAGCTCTAGTTTTAAGGCATAATAGTGACCAAAAATGCCAATTCTGCAAATGTCAAGTAGGAAAAGAACTGAGAAATAGGCATGGGGTTGTTCTTGTGAGAACATCTTTCTAAGATGGGTGAAGGTCAAAGCCAGAAGGTGTAAGTTTCATATAGTCTATATATGAATGCAAAGTTTAAAAACAAAACAAAACAGGGCAACAACTGGAAACCATTTTTTTCTTTCAAGATCATGGAGGAATTAAATGTCCACAAGATTTTTAGAATATTCTTGGTAAAGATGTGATAAAATAACACTAGAATTAGGCACATTAGTAAAACCATGAGTTATACTTTGAGGAAAAATTTTATAGCAAAAAAGATGAGGGAAGGAGGAAGATGAGAAAATCTGTATTTACAAGAGACTGAATTTGCCTCAATACTATTATCCTCAAATTGATGAGAAGTTTTTAGTCCTGCTCTGCAGCAGCTCCCTCTCTTCTGCCACTGGAGTCAGCAAGTATGAACACACACACACACACACACACACACACACACACACACACACACACACAGGATTTCCTCTTTATGTGAAGGGGCTGATGTGGTTGGGAAACACAGGATTAACTAGTTTTGGGACCCAAGTTTGATGGAATCAATAAGGTGAGAAACTGCAAGGTATCAGGTAGCTCTATACTCTAAGATTGGAGGCTCTTCTTCCGAAGAGCTCCATAATATGGTTAATATTCTTATTAGATTGAATATGTTCAATTTTTAAAGTCATCCCTTTGTTGTATTGATAACAATCATATTTGAGCATTTAGTGAGAAAGAAAGAAAAGGGAGAGGAAGGTATGTAAGGGGGGTAAGGAGGAAAGAAAGTTTGAAATGAGTACAGATAGTTAATAAGGAAAATTCAAATATATATATATATATATTCCAGCAGTGGGAGGTTATGCATATGTGTTCTTGTGCTAATATTAATAAAAGTTCAGTTATTACTCTTTAGTATGAAGATGCTGATGTCTGATGAGAGTTGAACTCTGACTGAAGGCTTTCCCACAGTCATTACATTTGTAAGGCTTCTCTCCCGTATGAGTTCTCTGGTGAATAATAAGGGATGAGCTCCGACTGAAGCCCTTTCCACACTCTTTACACTCATGGGGCTTTTCTCCAGTGTGGATTCGCTGATGTTCAGTAAGAGATGAGCTTCGACTGAATACTTTCCCACAGTCACTGCACTCATAGGGGTTCTCCCCACTGTGTGTTCTCTGATGTTCCATGAGAGATGAGATCCAGCTGAAAGCTTTTCCACATTCACTGCATTCATAGGGATTCTCTCCAGTGTGTATTCGTTGATGCTGAATTATAGTTGAACGGTCACTAAAAGCTTTCCCACATTCATTACACTTGTAAGGCTTTTCTTGAGTATGAATTCGCTGATGTTGACTCAGGTTAGTGCTTCGGCTAAAGGCTTTCCCACATTCACTACATTCATAGGGTTTTTCTCCCGTATGGATTCTTTGATGCAGATTAAGATGTGTACTTCGACTAAAAGCTTTTCCACATTCATTGCATTCATAAGGTTTTTCTCCAGTGTGAGTTCTTTGATGTTCAATAAGGTGTGTACTTCGGCTGAAAGTTTTTCCACATTCATTGCATTCAAAAGGCTTCTCTCCTCCATGAATTCTATTGTGTACAAGAAGTTCTGATTGGTAACTAAAGACTTTCCCACATTCATTGCATTTACAAGGTTTCTTTTGTGGGAAGAGTTTCTGGTGCTTAATTAAGTCTGAGTTATTTTTGGAGTCTTTCCTAGACATGAGGGATCTATTTCCTTTTGGAATTTTCAGTTGTGCATCAAGGTTTGAGCTTAGGCTAAATTCACTGGATTCAGGGTCTCTCTCTCCAGTTAAAATTTCTTTGAGCATTATTGACACTTTTCTAATTGCTGTGTTCTCAAAAGAGGATTTCTTTTGTGCAGGACATTTTGTCTACTTTGATAACTGGCCCTTACTTTTATAGGTTTCTTCATTTGTAAGAACCTGAGCAGTATTTCTTATGAGATTTTCCATAACTGATCCTGAAAACTCTAGTTCTTCTAAAGCAGCCTGATTGGTGTTGATGTTTTGGTTCAGTTCAAATCTCCCTATCTGAAAGACATTTAAAGTAAAAATATCACCTGCATCTACTGTGGAGAGCAAAATAAGTAAATAAAAAAATAAACCAGAAGATAAAAAGACAACTAATTTGCAATTTATGCACAGTAGAAACTTTATACAGAGAGAAAACAAAAAGGAATAGTAAAAGAAGTGAAAAAAGCCAAAAGAGATGAGGCAGAGTTTTTACAGTGGGCACACTGAGCATAGAGACATCAATAAATATGGGAAGAGGGATTGGATAATATTCTAAGCCAAAAAAGAAAGAAAGAAAGGAAGGAAGGAAGGAAGGAAGGGAGGAAGAAAATGCATGAATATACCAGCTGATGAGCAGAAAGTCAGGGATTAAAAGGTAAAATGATCTACTATTGTAGTTGACTATCCATGGGAAATAAGAGCGAGGAGAAGGATGAGAAAAGTAAAGGCTCTTAAATATAGGGGGGAAAAAAATAAAAAAGGATGATTCTATCAAGCTGGAACACAAGCTTGACATTGAGGGAAAACAAAATTTCAGAAATGATAACTATCACACTGCTATCCCCACTTGCTCCTTACTCTTCTTCCTATTGGTTTAGGCATTCTTCTAAAAATGTCCACAATCATAGATGATCAGAGGTTTAACAGAACTTTGAGCTCATCTAGGCCAACTTATTCATTTGACGGATAGTAAACATTGAGTAACTTGCTTAGGTCACCCAATGAATTGCTAGGGCTTAGACTAGAACTCCTTTCCTAAACATCAAATTGGTGGTCAACATAACATCACTCACCTAGACAGGTATTTTTTAGACTTTGGACAGTCCTCTTCAGTTCTCTAATGATCCAGGATCTACGGTTGTTCTGTCTCCAACTGGGTGATCAGGTCCAATTCACATGCTGAGATTCCTGTAGATTAGAAATGATTGAACACAAGGCTGTTGCTGCTAGAGACACAGAATTACTCAGAGCTCAATCGCAATGCTTTTATCTATAGAAAAGGTAAGATAACTTTCACAGGGGCTGTGGCAAGAGGGGCTGGAGAAAAAGGGTCTCTGAAAAGGGCTCAAATGGGATTCAAAGAGAGGCTTCACACACACACACACACACACACACACACACACACACACACACACACACCAGAATTACTTATGGAACTTATTGCTTCAGGTACCTGAGCCTTGCCTTGGATCTAGTAAATCTGATAGGGCCCAGGCACCTGCATTTTAATAAGTTCATGTGATTTGACATGTTGAATGTCTAAAAAGAGCCCTAGAAAAACCCTCTAGGTTGCTTGAACAAAGTACCATCTGGGACAAGCGCCCCTACACCCCAACATTATTCTCATAGTAGGAGGGTCTAAAATACAAACTCAGCTTCCCATAGGACAAGAGCCTTCTTTCCTCTACAGAGGTGCCAAAACTTCCCAAATATCTCAAGCTTCCCAGGTACTAGTCAGCTAGCTTTCCCAACAGACTCCTTTTTAAAAGCTGGGATCTCACATTCATACTGCCTGGCACCAAGCGCTGTGTTTGTCTTCCCACTGACATGGTGGTTCTTACACTTGCCTTATAAGAAAGGAGAGTAACAGGGCAGCAAGTCCTTCTCCTGGAACACTGAACTACTCTCTGTGTCCAGGACAGCATCCTGGCTCCAGCAAATTTCCTGTTGGGAAAATGGGAAGATCTGAGAACCTGTGTCTGTTCTTCTTGCCTTTCTCTCAACTCTAGGTTTCCTTATTAAATTCCTTTTGTGAATTCATCCAGAGCCCTTATGCATTACAAGAGGCAATGAACTGTATAATAGTTCCCCAAATACTTGTGCTCACATATACAATTTGAGATCCACTGGGTTAGGAAGTTGATCTGGTTTCACAAAAGTCTTTCTTCATAGACTGTGACCTCTCAAATATGAAGGTTAACCTTGGAGGATATTCAGCAAGCAACCGTGCATGGAGAACCTCAAGCATAGTATGATGCTACTGTCCTTGTCCAACTTTGCCAAAAACATGCCTTTCAACTGGAAACAAGGAACGCAAAAAGCTCTATTGCTAGGCTGACTCAGGCATCAGGATTTCTTATTGTGGCACCTTGCATTAAAAGTCAGTTGCATACTATAAGGTGTAAACATTCCTCAGTAGGAATTTGCTTTACTACTAGCTCGGCTGGCTTCTATTCTTGAAGTCCAGATCCTTAAGCTACTCCATTGTTGTCTTGTCAGTCACTGTTATTTCTCTTTCATTACTGTGATCCTTAAGATACCTTAGAGACATCTTACGGAGAGTTTTGGGAATTGTGAATTTTTTTATTGTCACAATGATTAGATAGAACTACTGGAACTTAATGGAGACAAGGACGATAGACATTCCTACAAAACAAATAATTGTCATTTATCCTGCTTGACTTTCAAAAAAGCTGTTAATAGTTACCTGAAACTATCGCATAATACCTCTTTACAAGTAAATAAAAAGTATTTTACACAGCCTGATATATATTGGAAAATCAAGGAAATTTTTTTTTGTTTGGTTGGTATTAAAAATTGCTCACCATTTCAGGGAATTCAAGCCACTCAAAGTATTAGATTCACAAATACAACATTCATAAGTCAGTCTACATTTGCAGTTGTATTCAGTGATTCTAATTGGTGCAAGCATCTGTTTCATACAGTCATTTACATGCTGAAATACATAGTATTCTATTATAAATCACTTTCCTTTTACTTTCCCTTTTTTATTATAGTAAAGGTAACGTATTGATATTTTGGAAATTATGTCTATGGGTATTTAATATTATCTACAAATTTTATTTCAGGATAGTAAAGGGGATTGCAGATCTGAAGGGTGGAGAAATACTTCCCTAGTGCAATACGACTAAATTATTGACAGTTACATGATAGGTGAACAGTGCATCTCTCGGTAGGTAAATTATAAAGCCTCTAAGGCCTCTAAAACAAAAATTCTTGTCCTCCAACAGAAGTCTTTGAAGATTGAGAACACCCATGCTGACATAATGGTGATGTGGAAACTATGGGGACACTGAATATATGTAGTGGAGTATTATTACATTATTATATATTATATTCCATCCTGGAGAAGATATACCTTTAGGAAATATACCTTAGAACCATTAAAATATAGGGTACTTGGTGGGGCACTGTGGCTCACATCTATAATCCCAGCAGTTTGGGAGAACAAGGTGGGAGGATCACTTGAAGCTGGGAATTCAAGATGAACCTGTGCAGCACAGCCAGACCCTGTCAAAAAAAAAAAAAAAAAAAAGTTAAAAAAGTAGCTAGCCGACCTATAGTCCTAACCACTTGAGAGGCTGAGGTGGTAGGGACACTTGAGCCTAAGAGCTCAAGGTTGCAGTGAGCTATGATCGTACCACTGCTCTCTAGCATAGGCAACAGAGCAAGGCCCTGTTTCAAAAACAAAAAAACACAGGATACCTAAAACCAGGCATAATATCTTGAACAGAGAAAGAACTAGGACAGAGTTCAAAGGATATAGCTGATTTGAAGTTTAGGACTCACTCTCATGCTTATTAACATCTAAATGACTGTTAATTGTGCCAATTTGATATGAGATTATCTATAATCAATGTGTATATACTTTGTAGTGACTCTTAAAATAGTTGTTTTTACATTTCATATAAGCTCATGATATGTATAATTATATTATGCATTATGTGTGTATGTGTATGTGTCACATGATAGACACATAGACACTCCACATAGACACTTCTTCTTCTTCCTCTTCCTCTTCCTTCTCCTCTTCCTCCTCCTCTTCCTCCTCCTTTTCCTCCTCCTCTTCCTCCTCCGCCTCCTCCTCCTCCTCCTTCTTCTTCTTCTTGTTACTTCTTAACAGGCAGGGAACAAATACCTGAGTCACATTTTTCAATCCTGGGGCCTCTAAATGGTTAAGAAACTAAACTCTACTGATCCCAGAAGGACACCAGCATGACCTTGACTTCAGAGTGATGTGGAGGTTTAGAGAGTGACCTTTATCTGGGAGGATGCAGTAAATCCTAACCACATTAAAATATTCCACCCTATTTGTGTAACCTAAGGATTACATTCTCCAGCCCCAACTGAACTTCAAGTGGCATCCTCAGCACAATTCAGTGAAACATCTGACAGAGGTCCCATGGTGTAAGCATTGACCAGGTAACTTGAATTTTGATTATAGCTCTGTTGGTAGTCATATAGACACCACCACGGAAAATAACCAATGTGATTTTATGTTTCCTCATCCATAAAATGAAGGTGTTGGATTTAATTGGTGAAAAGTTATCTAATCCCCAGTAGTTTAATTTTAGATCCCAAACTTTAAGGCACATAATCATCTGTCTAGACTAAGAGGATATGACTAGAATTTACAAACTTTTATTCAAATCCTCAGAGACATGTAAACCCCTGAGCTCCATGTTTCAGATGAAATCATTCAAACAACAGGCCAATTAGGCTTGTTTATTAATCACCTAATGATGAATTAGACTGAGGGAGTGTTGAAGGAGATTTTAAGGGTCTGATCAGCAGGCAAATATAGAGTAGTCTTTCTTCCATCTCCTCTTGACTTTCTTTATGATCAAAGGCAGAGCTGAGAAAAGGTCAGACTCTAAGGCATCCAGAACCACTGGTCTAGCAATGTCCACATCTGGTCAGTTGAATGCAACCCTAGGATTAAGAGGTAAAATGAATGACCAAAATAAATTCCATATACAAAGAAAATGACAATAGACACATGTCCGGGTTTAAAGTCCATCTTTTTTTTTTTTTGAGTTGGAGTCTCACTCTTTGTTGCCCAGGCTGGAGTGCAGTGGCACGCTCATGGCCACCACAGCCTTGACCTGCTGGGCTCAGGCAATCCTTCCTCCTCAGCCCTCCAAGTAGCTGGAATTACAGATGCACACCATTCATTTTTGTCACTTATTGTAGAGACAAGGTCTCACCAAGTTGCCTGAGCTGGTCTCAAACCCCCGGGCTCAAGCAATCCTCTTACATCAGCCTCCCAAAGTGCTGGGATTACAGGCTGAGCCACCGCACCCAGCCAAAGTCCATCTTTGATGAAAGGAAAAGATCTAGGTCAAAGCCAAACTTTTTCTAAACTCTTTAGGTGACCCAGCCTCTCTTTGACAATCTCTTCACATGGGGTATGAGTTCAAAGAGAATATGGCACTAGTCCCCAAACTTCTTCCCAAGTGTCAAAATAGAAGGCAGGTGACATCGTTCAGTTGTACTTCCCTGGGTAAGTCACTCACCTTTCTGAAAAATCTGGTCTCACATTACAAAACACCATTACTAGAACTTTGCCTTTTCTTTTCTTTTCTTTTCTTTTTGAGTTGGAGTCTCACTCGGTCGCCCAGACTGGAGTGCAGTGGCCGCTCCTGGCCACCGCAGCCTCTACCTGCTGGGCTCCGGCGATCCTTCCGCCTCAGCCTTCCAAGTAGCTGGAATTACAGGCATGTGCTACCACGCTCGGTTGATTTTTTGATTTATTGTAGAGATGAGGTCTCGCTGCCCAGGCGGGTCTCGAACCCGCGGGCTCAGGCAATTCACTCACCTCAGCCTCCCAAAGGCGCGGGATTACAGGCTGAGCCACCAAGCCCGGCTCTTTGCCTTTTCTTACAAAGTTTTTGTGAATACTGCAAGTTAAAATATGACAAAATATTTACAATAAAAATATTGTATATGACATAAGGAGATGATGCTATTGCTGTGCTCATCTCAAATCAATTGATTTGAAAATTGTGATGGTATAAGTTTAAGAAAAGAAGCTTTCAGAGAATTTATGGGGCTTCCTTCTGGAGCTGCTTTTCAAGAGCATGGACAGATGCGTTTCTTTTCCTGGCTTTGGAGAATGCATATGAAATGGGAAAGGGAAGTCTAGTGGATTTGATAAAGTTTC